GAGGTGAATGTTTAACGTTAGCTAATAGATGATTTCGTGATAATTAAATATACTCTTATGATTTACAATTCAAATAATAGAAGGCCACTGAAGAACACACATACCATAGCCGACACTAAATCACGCAGTCAGATAGTTGTAATTCAAACTGTTATTTCTTGTGGAGCGGTTGAGCCAAGCCACTTGGGTAGGTAACTTGATTCATGTCCTTACTACCATGATAGTGTAGATATAATTATATATTCGAAGTGATATTCACTTTTTATGAGCTAAAATCAATCTCAAATTTATCATCATCCAATAACTTTAATGAATGATTGATGCATTATATTTTAAGTAATTTGAGGTGATTGAATTTACTCAAGTACTTTTGATTCATTAATTTATAATTGTGATTTTAAAACTAATATTTTAAAAACTAATCTACTGGTGATGCTTTATGCCTTCTGTCAACACAACCATCATCGCGACTGCCGTAGAAAGTTCTCCGTCGGCGAACAGGAGAGGCAAAGAGGATGAAGGAGATCCGGGAGGAAAATCTCGGTCTGGTTGCGCGAGGCCGAAGGACCGACGGCGGTTTGTGTTGCTGCGCGATGGCCGCAAGCGAGAGGGGAACGACCGAGAAGAACTGAAGCGGGGACCTTTGGTTGCGTCCGAATGTCAAGGAGAGGGATGCGAACGGTTTCTTCGGGTTTTTTGCCGGGGGCTTGGATTTCGGTTGCTGTACGTGCAAACGAGTGGGAGAGGTTGCAGTGATCTACATCCTTGGGCGGGAGCACGTATCAGGTAGGGTTTTAGCTTATTTTAAATTTCAGTTTTCAACAGTCATAGAGGTCTATACCCATCCATGAACTAATCTTGCCGCCTTGCTTTGCTTTCTGCTAAACCTATTCTAGCTCTTTGACATTGCCAACTGGGTCACCTGGTTCAGCCATTCTCTCATAAAGTACAAATTATACTTTAGGAATATGCATTCTGGCTTCTTCCTCACAATGTTCCTCTCACCGTCTTGCCAAAAGCTATAGATTTCCATGCTTTGATTTCACTTACGAGATTTGCATTTACTTCATTTACTTGCCATCGATGTATGGTATGGTGTCCTTCCCTCACACCTTCCACTTATGGAGGTAAATTCTATGTTTTATTTCTTGATGATTTCTCACACTTTTGTTGGGTGTATCTTATGACTCTTTAAGTTTAAAATGCTTTCTAAATTTAGTGGTGTCCTTCCCTCACACCTTCCACTTATGGATGTAAATTCTATGTGTATCCTATGACTCTTTAAGTTTAAAATGCTTTCTAAATTTATCCTGTTTAAAAAAAAAAATGGCAGAAGATAAAAAAAAATTCCATATCAAAAACCCTCTAATTGAATGTAGGTTGAGAATATCTCAGCTTTAATTTTCAAAATCTCCTCTCCTAGATGGGCATAGTCCACCAACACAACTCCTTATTGTAATGAACACACTTCTATGCCTCTAGAGCTAACCATTATAATTCGTCAACTTATAGTAGCTCCTCAACCTAGTTCCATTCTTGCAACTCATCCTATGGCAATAATGCCAACCCTTCCGAGTTGACTTGTTCTTTTGTAGTAGACAAGGACAAAAAAATGATGTCATGCCTGCTAAATTTCAGGCACTGCGATCACAAGGCGCCTAGAAACTTTTCTTCCATCTCCTATCTTGAATCTCATAGGCTGCAAATGGATCTACAGGATGAAGTGCGATTTAGATGACACCATTGCTCGATGTGAAGTTCCCCTTAATACTCAAGGTTTTAAACATGAACACGATGACAATTATATCAAAAGATTCGGCCTAATGGCCAAAATGCTGACTATTCAAATTCGACTAACCGTAGTTCTTACTCGCAATTGGCCTTTCCATCACCTTGATATGTTTAATGCCTTCCTACTCGTTAACCTCACCGAATGTTTACATTAAACTTCTTGAAGTATTTATTGATACCGATCATGATTGCATTTCTAAAAAGGCTCTTTATAGACTTCAACAAGCACCTAGCGTCCTAGCCAGTGTTTGGCCACTCTCAATGGACATATTTAGTGTCTCGGTTTTGTCCTAACATTGTTGATTTGTCACTGTTGATATATTATCATAATGATATTATCCCTTACATCTTGATCTATGCGGATGATATCATCCTCACCAGCAATACTTACTAGCCATGATTCACTTCCTACAATACATTCAAAATACATTTCATATAAAAAAATCTTGGACCTCCATCCTACTTTCTCAGTCTCCTAGTGCAACTGACATCACATAGACTGCTCCTAAATCAGCCCCAATATATAATCATCATATCTGACCAAGTTGGCATGTGAAACACAAACTACTATAAATACTTATCTCATCAAAACTATCCTCTAATCCTTATATGCTCTTCGAGCTTTCCTAGCCCGAGCTCTACCGCCACTTCACCAACTCTCTCTCTCATATCTATCAATCACTCACCTCGACCTTGCCTCTAAATCAACACTTTACTTCCTTAAATGAGCTTTGTGATACATTAAAAGCACTTGCCTCCATATTTTTCCAATCCAGTACAATAACCTCAGATTTAGTACATACTTAGATTATGACTGGGATGATGATTACCTAAACCCTACAGTCTATTGTGACTGTCTTGGTCAAACTTAATCTCATTGTGCATAAAGCAATAGTCAACTACTCAATTAAGGTAGAATATCACGCTTTTGCCGACTCTGTTACGGATATCATCTTGCTCCGGAGAGTTCTTCACGAGTTTGTAGTCCCTCTTTCCACCATTAAAGTCAACTAAAAGGTCACAGTTCTCCACTTAAAACAGACTTTGCTATTGTAGCAATATAGTACTAATATACTTGTATAAATACAAGGCCATGCAATCCCACTGTTTCAAACAACGAATTATGGGTTCTCTACGCCTGTTACACACTCAATCTGTATTCCATTTAGTAAGTTATTATAAAGTCTTTTACTATTTTTCACATGAGCATTTACATACATGTCACTCAATTCTTATGAATTTATATATGTAGCACCTAAATTTTACCTTTTACATTTATTCCACCCAAATCTTTGAGAGCACATAAAAGAATATCATCATTTTAACTTTTCAAAGGTGAAATACACCTTTTCATGCATAGGTAAAGTGGC